GAGAGAGATGGGTGCAGTTGTGCATGGAGCAGCGGGCACCCCGTATCAGAACCCTGTACATTAATCTTACATTTGTTATAAGCTGTGTAATATTTCTGTATAGGTGTACTTAAACACTGATACAAATAAGAGAGTGAAGCACTTTTTTACCTGGAACAGTGAGAGGCATGAGTGTAATTATCTGGAAAGCCAGGATCCCTAGCCAGTTCTTTGGGCTTGGAGAGTTACTTACTGGAAGTTTCCTGGATTCTGCAGAATATACAGACACCAAGGTAATGTCACTAGACTTAAGGATTTCCCTGTGGACAAATCCCTACCTATACTAAAAAGCAGCCAGAATGTATATATGGCAGGTCACAGTTACCAAAAAGTAATACACAGGGCAAATGGTTTTGGCTGGATTTTTCAAGCTGAATTAACCTGGACCATCATTTTGAATAACTGTATTCAGGGTGAAGTCTTCCAACCCAGGTCAGATATTTTGTCTGTGCTCATTAGTAGTTCATTCCCACTCTGGGCAGTGATAAATACGAAAATCTAAAATAGAGCAAAAGGGAAGAATAATATTGTCAGACTCCAAAATTAACAAAGCTCCCTCCTGATCTACAGCAGCCCAACCATTTACTTACTGCAGTGAGCAGCATGTCTTCAAGTTATGGAGAAGTACAATGAGAAAACCGGTCCCTTCACCTCAGCCACATATCTGACGGCCCTTAGGCAGTAGACAGGTTTGAAAGGTATCTAACCAGTAGCTGCACACAGTGTCTGGATCTTCAGGTAGTGCAGGGTTCAGCAGCCATGTAAAAAAAATGCATCACTCCTTTCCTCCTTGCCTCCAGCAACATCTGCTTGTGTGACAAAGTGAAAGCTCAGTAGTTCTGCACTTCAAAAACTAGTTTGATGTCTGACTTGCATTCAAAGTGCTCAGTAGCTCCATGCTTTGCACTTACCTGTTTTAATCTCTCCCAGTGCAAGCTACTTGATAATGTAATAATCAAACAAAAGATTGACAGAGGATGTAGCCAGCTTAATGTACCCCTCTGATTCTGCTGTGTTGGAGTGATAGATACTTCAAACAGAAAAGAATTCCCCTTGTGGCTCCACTGTTTTCCAGGCATCTTTCTAGATGAACGTTTCCAATGGTAAAATCATTACAAAGTAGAAATGTAATCTCTCTAAGGGCTAACTTGAAAACCTAAACTAATATAAGGAGCTCTAATGCAGCAATGAATCCTGTAGGCAAAACAGGACATTTCCTGTGCATCTTTGTAAGGTGCAGAAATGGGAGAAAGTGTTGCATTAGCAGAATTAAGCCAGTTATTTTTGTCTGCCTTAAAATTTGGGATACTACAAAACCAAAGTCTTGCCAAAACCTAGAGCCCAAACTCTGAAACGAAACCCCCTTGAAAACTCTCAAAATGCTATTTCTCATTTATGTTGTGCATTTGAATACAAAAAGGCAGTGCTGAGGACACTCCTGTCTGGGTAGCTCTGATACTCAAGTCTCAAACAAGATTCAGATTTTATGTCTTCATGGCAGCTGCAGTATTTTGTGCTTTCATTCCTTCCGGGACCTTTGCAGGGTGCACAGTCCCTCCAGTCAGACAATGGAAGAGGCTGTGGGTATTTCATGGGTACATAAGAGGAAGGTCCCTTCCCAGGCACACTGCAGCTACATTAGGTGAGCAACAAAACAATGCCTGAACATGCCTGTGCCAAACATAGGCAATGGGACTCCAGGCTGGTATCACTCAGACTGGAAATTTTGGGGCTCACTGGGAATTTTTATATGCAGAAATAGAACAAAATCAATCCTGTCAGAAAACTAGAAGCTTGATACTGGGACAGGAAATGAGTAAGAAAAAATATATCTTAGTCAAAAAAGGCAAATTTCATTTCCAGCATGACAGAGAGGAAACAGTTCAGTTAGAGGTTTGCAGTGAGAGTTCAGCAAGGAGAGATAAGTCTGTGCAAAGTATTGAAAATTAGAGACTCTCAAAAGAAATATTTGCTTTCATCCTCCTTAGGAAAAGAAGCAATTGCAAACAATTATGTTGTGATTTTAATACTGGCTTCAAACTATCTGTAAGATTACTTTGTGTTTAATAACAAAGCTTACCCTAATATAAGATAAAAGCACAGTTTGCCTAGTTTGGAAATTGAAACTTTAGAACTGCCTTGTTCAAGTTGAAGCGAATCTGATTGTCATGTGGGTAAGACACCACTGACAGTTCAGGACAATGCAATTATGCTTTTTTCTTTTAATTGTGACCAAATAAACATAAAAAAATAGCTTATAATTTACTATTTATTGACTCCTTGTATGTACTAAAATTTTTGGCTGTCTGAATGATAACATTTTACTGTCTTCAATGATTAGAACATGATCCTTTAAAGGTCCCTTCCAACCCAAGCCACTCTATGATTCTATGATTCAGTGAATTTGCAAGAAACCTAGAGCAAACCCACAACTGTTCCTGGCTGTTGCACCCAGCTACTTTCCAGTAAAGCAGTAACCCCTGTGAAAAGCCCACTGTGTAGGTACTAAAATTATACTAGATGAACATCGAGGCTGAAGTCCTTGAGTGGAATGTGTGTAGCGTGATTTGCTTTCCAGGTTTGATAAAAATAACACTGCATTTTCCTTCAATAAATTTTAAAAATCCAGCTTTAATCCAAGAGTTATGAATTTAAGGGTTACTGAAAGAAAACAATAACTCTCTGAATACCTGACAGAAGTGGAGACAGCAGAAAGCAGAAATTAAACTGTAACCACTCCCAAAAAGCCTTTGCAGGAAATGCCTGCGTTGTTTGAACAGCCTGAAGTAGTTAATGAGACAAGGAAGAACTAAAGGTATTAGAGAGCTGTTGTGTTGCCTACAACCAGTCTTCCTTTGGCGTCTTTTCATGCAGCAAAGTGATGTCTCCCCAATGTACCAGCCGGCCACCACCCACCCAGCAATGTGTCTCTAAGATCCCTCTTAAATCTCATACAGGTTGCTATTATTTCCTTGCTTTGTATGCAATAAATGTTACACTGCTAGGAACAACACACCCTCTTCCAATACTGCAGCAGTCATTATTAGAAAAGAGCATCTTTATATATATATATATAAAAATACATATATTGATCATATAATTTTATTACTATTGGTTTTATAGAATTTTTATTTTCATATGCTGCATACTTTATGCATGTTTCAAGTATTTACCTTGTATATATGCACTCATACATTACTTATATTTAATACTGTATATAGTTTTACATATTTATAGTATGCATATTCTGCTTTAGATAGTAGGTAAATATTGCATGCGTATAATTTTATATTTTACATGGTTTGCACCTATATAAAATGCCAAAATGAAGGCTGTAGATGTTAGGAGTTCCTTTTTTGAGGAAGAATGTGTCAGTAACAGCCACTGCCTTTGTGGGCCCAGGCCAAGGGTGGTGCCAGGAATGAGCTGCAGTGAAGGGTTTAGCACTAAGTGATGCAGAAGCACCTTGGGTCTGAAACACAAGCTTGTGGTGCTCTCACGGGGTTTCACTGTGGATGGGTGCTTTTGGGGTGGGATTGGCTGTTGGTTTTAAGTACTAGTCCGCGTTGACACCAGTGTCTGCAAGAAGTAACACCCTAAACCTTGGTGCAATGCTCTTGTAAAAGCAGCCAGCACCTGCCCCACCGCTCCTGGGATGCAGAGAAGAGGGCCTCTCCTGCAAGATAACATGTGCCTCCAGGCCCATGCTGCCAGTGGCCTCCAGACAGGTGGTTTGGCCCTGCTTTGCTTGCACAGAGCAGGATGGGGCTAATCAGGAGCAGGCTTCTGATGCTGCAAAATTTTCCATCTGTTGTCAGGATTTATAATTACATGCAACTCACTGTGCACCCTCAGCGAGCTGTAACTGGTAGGCATTTGCCTCATTAATCATTCAGGTGCTGTGAGCTGCTCCATGCACAACTGCAGAAGTTATGGCTGAATTTACATAGCCTTGCTGTGGTTTATAGCGTTTACCACATGTGACGATTTTGAAATGTGGTTGATTCTGAGGACATTTGCAGCTGTGGCTCAGGGGGTTTTAATATCATGACGTGCCACAAGATGGCACTGACTCCGAGGCCCTGCTGCAGCTCCACCGCTGCAGCAGGTGCCCTTTGGGCTCCTTCAGGCCGTTTATTTACTAACTAGCTGGTGGCTCCAACAGCACTCAGCTGTCCGTGGTTTGATTTGGTTTAAGCTGTGGCTATGAAATGCTATGATGCTGTGACAATGATATGAAGCTTTAGGATTCAGACACGATTTTTCTTTTATATAATGGCTGCTTTTGTTGTTTAAGGCCCAAGCCAAGCCCTGCAAACAGCACATGAAGACCAGACGGTGTAAGTCCACCAAGAGCTGACATTTGTTACCCACAGCTAAACTGGGACAGTTCTTATCAAAAGGTAGAAAAGAGCAGCCGTGAGACTCCCATGACAGCAGAGCATCTGCTAAGCTGAAGCGTCACTGAAAAAGCACCTGTAACTGTTGGTACACAACCTGTTGCTGTAGTTGCTTCTTCCTGGAGCCTCTTCCTGCCACCGCACTGCTGAGTCCCACACAGTTGCGAGCTTTGCAATGCTCCTGAAGCAGCTCTCGGTACTCCAGCGTTAGACACTTCCCCCTAAAGTTTCCTGGGATTCCCAGATAGTTCATAATGTCTCTTTGTCGCTTTGCTACAGCAGTCAGACAGTGTTCATTACTCCTGACCAAACCTGCTATTTAGGCTGGCTGCAGCACCCTGAACAGCACTCCAGGGTCTCAGCTGACTGATGAACTGCAATAGCTGTTTCTGGATCCCTTTGTTGTGACACTGGTTCTCAGTTTCATCCATGTACAGTAAACAGCCAAACAAAGTCCTTTACTAGGTCATTTACTACACTGGAAGTGCTCTAACTGTATTAGAAAAGTTCCTGGATAAAAACAATTTACTGTAACTGCGGTTGAACTGTGATTGTGCCCTTACATGTGCTGCTTTTCAGTAAATTCATGTATTACAGAACCTGCCCAACACTAAAACAATAATCCTTTCATTTGACAGACTTCTAATCAAATTTCATTTTGCCTGGAAAATGAGTTTGTTCTAGTTACTGAAAGGGAAAATACTCTCTTTTCAATACCCTTCTCATCTATGGAAAGATACACACTGGCTACACGCTGAAATACTATGAAAACAGCGTTTCTTTAAAAACAGGATGAATCCCACACTTTTCCTGGGTTTGAATCAAACTCTTCGTCAAGAGTAAATACAGGAATAAAGAAAAGAATCAGTACAAACACAGAACAGGTGCTCATGTTTAAATACATGCCATTCAGCTGTTAAAAAAAATGATACCGACACCAACATATCAAAGGCATATTATTGACATACGGTGTCTGACACACTTCCAATAAATGAACACACACACTGGCTTTGAAGAGAACCATCCAAATTGTATCTTTCCAGTGAAGAGCTTATCAGGGGAACAGTCAGATTTGTGCCTGTAGAGGAACATGTGGATTTCTTCTGGAGGATGCACCATGTCACAACCACGCAGGATGTCAAATCAGCACAGTGTGTGTCACATCACTCCCTCCTGTTCCAAGTCAGACCCAGGATGAAGCACATGAGACCAATCACGCAGGTCTGCTTAGAAGCATGGCCCAGCTGTCCAGCTGTGCTGCACAGCACCACATTACAGTTCCAGGAAGTATTCCTTCTTGTGGGGCAGTGACCCACTTTACTGTGCCTGCACACGTAAATAAACAAGGAAAAAACCAAAGCAAACCAACCACAAAACCCTCCACTTACTTAAAGCTAAATTAGCCCTGTTGTCCTCGCTTCCCCAGAACAGTTCCAGCTCCAGCCCTGAATTCAGGTGCATGGGCACTAATTCATGTGTCCTAAGTAAGTATTTTTCTCTATTAACCAACTAATGTATTTCTTTATCAGAATATCCTTGAGTCTAGCAGTTCATTCATGATTTTAAACAAACACCATTCAATTGAGGAGGGTTTCCAATGAATGTGCTAAATAAGGAGAAAATCTGAAGTGCTATTCCTTCTCTGGCTACATTTAGAGCCTAATGCGGTACACGCACTGGTCCCACTGATGCCTGGCCAAGGCTTTCAGCTCATAGCCGGCTCCTGTCCTGTCACTTTTGAACACAGAGAGCAAGTCATCCCCCCTCCCTTGGGACCAGAGTACATCTGCTCCTCAGCCCAAGGTGCTGAAGGCAGGCAGCACAGCACACTCACTGGCATCCAGCATAAAAATGCTGCACTAGCTGGGTTAGCCTTAAGCTGCAGCGGTCTCTCTTGATGTCTTCTGTACTTCAGGTCCCAAGCTTTCTGCACGTAAATAAAAATATTGTTAGTGCTTATAGAATTTCCACAGTTTATTTTATCAGCTTCTCCTGTGTGTTCTCTCTGGTATAGAAAAGGGGAAAAAAAAAAAAAGGAAAAAAAGCCATATATTGTCTTCCAGTCCCTAGTTGGTCCTCCTTTAAGGACCTTGTAAGACATTTTTTGTGTATTGTTTCCCTGCATATGTGGGCAGCTTTACTACTTCATCCCCCTCAGGACCACTTAACAACATCAGCAAAGCAATTAAGTGTAGTTTTCAGGAAAATGCCAGAGGCATTACACTGTCTGGATGGGAGTCTCAACCCAATTATTTTCAGCTAGTTGTGAACTGTGGAAAGTGGACTTTACTTCATTATAACTTCAGTTCCCACTGATTAAAAGTCTAGTATGTTACAGACGGTAAGGAAAAATGAAACAATTAAACTTTCCATCAATAAAATTGCTGCATATTCTTCAACATAGGGGTTTACTTCTCTCCAGAGAAGTGATTAAAATGAACTGATTGAACTATAATTTGATTGACTGAAGAGGCACAATCCATTGCACTAAAGCTTAAATTCCATCTTATTGCTCTATTTAACTCTGAATATAAAAAATTACCAGCGGTCTTGTAAACCCCTCATGCAGTCATCCAGCTGAAATTTCTCGTTGCACACAGGCTGCAGTAGGTTCTGTTCGTTCAGTGCTGTGTGTGCATGATTCACAACGGACCGACACTGAAAAAATAGACTGACACCTAAGAAATTACAGCCTTAAAAACTATTAGAAAAGGCCTGTTATATTGTCAGGTATCTTACACTTATTACATAATTGTTTGGGGATTCTAAACTCAACCACAGATAAAGTTAACCCAAGAGACTGAAGAGAATAAGGTTATATACAGCTGTTACAGCAAAAAATTTGCGTTATATTCCCACTGAAAAATGCAGCTGTGATGCACCTGCCTACTGCAGAGCTGCCTTCAGCAATGTGTGAGGTTTCTGTGAGTGCATATGTATGCACTCTCCTTCTAGGTCTCTGTTCTGGCTGTGACTCAGGACACACGGATCCCAGTTCAAAGAATGCTTCTTTGGACTGGGGGCAAGTTTTTAAGGTTTGCTTCATCTATAGGTATTCATCTCCACAGATGAAGAGGTGAGCTGCTACAGTCAGGGACCTCTCCTGCACAGTGAGGTCTAATAAAAGCCAGTTAAGAAACAATGAGCTTCTGTTAACAGGCTACAATGACGTTCTGATCCAGAAAATACCTTCAGTATAATTTGCCTCTGAAAATTAACTGAGATGCCATTTCCTCCATGAGGTTGCCCCTCTGCTGTATTACACCCACTTTCTCTAGTCCACTATGTATTTTGATATAAAACACAGCATTTGACTTACAACTGCACCACAGTAATACTGAGTAAGAATATATTATTACATTAAGTTGTAGCATGAATACATTATACTAGTAATTAAATGAATCAGCCTGAATAAGGCATGCAGATAAAGATGGGCAACAGATGGGCTAAACACTCAATGCACTTATCTGTAATAGGTAGCTCAAACTCCAAATCAAGTCAATGGAAGTCTTCCCATTAACTTCACCAAGAACCACGCCATGTACTACTTTCAGCTACAATCTTTACTACTGAGTTCAGTTTGCTGTTGAGCTTTGCACTTCTGCCTGTGCCTGATCCACAAGGATGGCTTCATGGCTGATCAGGCCATATATGTGATTTATATCAATTCCAATCCTGGATGTTGCCAATCCCAGCATTAGATGGATTTCTGACCATAGTCACGGGCTGCAAATTCACTAAATTCTTCAGTGTTATTAAGCATAGGGCAAACCACAATTCTTTGTATTTGTTAGCCAAAAGCTACCAAGACTGTAGTGGAGTCACTGAGGTGGTATCAATCTGATAAAATGCTACCTCCGTCTAATTTAGAAGGAACACCTCTGACCAATTATATTTGACACTTAATGGTTGTCTTGCATTATTGGCCTTTTGTTTCCTCTTTGATTTTGATTACCAATTACTATAAACATTATTCCCTACCCCACCTTACGATATACAACTTTGAATAAAGATGTGCGGCAGCAACAGTAACAGCAGCATTTTAAATGGAGACAAGAGCAAATGCAGAACCACAAATCTGTGGTTCTGGGCAATCTCTGGGAGTTGCAGGATGTTACCTACTTCCCCTGAGCCCAGCTTTATGCACACACACCAGAGGTATGCAAGGCCCCAAACACCTTAAATGCATATGTAATGCCTATTTAATCTTTCAGTTCTTAAGAGAGATAAATTTCCTCAATTATAACAACACCTTTGTCTGCATACAAGCTGCAGAAGGTACCATGTTTGATGTAATTTATATATTATTTTCCTTGCAGGGCAAGAAAACAGCAAAAAGAGGGCCCCAGATGTGAACCTGGCCTTCCCTAATTCTTAACTGACAAAGTGGCAGGGTGCTTACAAACCATTTGTCCACCTCACAGCACTTCTACAGATGTGGCAGCAAGCAGAGCCTGGGAAAGGCTTTTTTGTCACACTGACATGAGTCACAAGAAAGCTGGAGAGAGCACAAAGAAAGTCAAGAAAAGGGCAGGACCCTCTTCCCAGCCCAGCCTGTACAGGCACATGGAACAGAAGGAACAGGTTTCTGGTGAACTGAGCCCTTACTTCATGTGGTTCCCCAGAACAGAGTCAGTGGCTGCAGGGACTGGAACTTGCCAGCAGTTCCAGCAGACGATGCTGGACTTGCATCTCAGGGGAAAAGTGAAAAATGACTAAAGCTGGATCTGTTTCCTGCATCCATGGCTCTCCTGACAAACACACAGGAGTAACCAGTCAACACTAGCAAAAATAATATAATTTTGCTATGGATGCTGCAAATCACACTAGTGACTTCTCTGTCCCTATCCCATTAAGGCGAGGCATCAGAATTTTCTGATGTTTTCAATAGCAAGTTGATCTCAAAATCTATTAATTACAAAATTCTATAAAAATGTAATCAAAAATATATAAAATGTACTATGCAGAAGATTTGTATTTGAAAAATACAGCACTTTAATTACAGAAGCGGAAGTAATTTAAGTGATATAAGAGAAGTGATTACTGTAATTTCTTCATTAGATTTTAGTTCCACCATTTAAGAAAACATCATTTAAAAGGTGTGGTATTATCTTTTATTCCACACTGTTACAACTCCAGCAAAACATGCAAACACTTGAATACTCTCCTCCTAGCAACCAAGGTCTTTCATGAGAAAAGCAGCATATTTGTCTTTTTTCTGTACTTCATACTAAGCCAAATTTCCAGATTTCCAGTTTGCAACCCCTTCAGGCCATTCAATAACCATTATTCCGTTTCTGGAATATAATTTTAGGTACAAGTCTAAGCCAGAGACCATCTCTTTGCTCATTTTCTAATTAAAAAAAAAAAAATATTAATTGAGCTGGGTTGGGTTTTTTTTTCCCCCTCCAAAACCACCACCCAAGTAACAAGAGTGCCCTCAGCTTTAACATTAACAGGAAAACCACCTACCAAGCCACCCAATGTCTATAGGCAGAATTTCATAGTGGACACATCTGAATCCCTACCTGAATGCCTGTGTCACCTCCACTTACATGTAACACTACGGTTATAGGGCCAGACTTTCAGAATTCTGCGTATTATTTACTTCCACCAACAGAAATATCAAGAAATTAATTTCAGGCACTAAGCTTCTTCACATTTACTAACCTCCTGCATCTGACAAAGTGCTGAGTTTTCTGCAAGTCCCACTACAGAGAGGACAAAGTACAGATATCAAGTGCTCCCTTGGGATTTAGGTCTGTCTTTAAAGGCTGGAATAATGGTGACATTTTTACTGAAGAAACAGGGCTTTTGGGTATCTTAAGACCTTTGCAGGATGCTGGGGATCAAAACCAAACCCAGACCAGAAAATTCTTACACTAAGAGAATCCTCTCTTCTACATCTTTTCTTACAGAAGGGCAAGTTCTCCTTTCTTTCTTACCTGAGGGAGACCTTGTTAACTCTTAAAGAAAAAAAAAAAAAAAAAAAAAAGGAGCAACTGGAAAACCTGTCTTCCACGGAAAAAACAAAAGATAGCTAAGTGAGAAGATCTGTCCTTCTCGTCACTTACAGCGTGGTCAAAGAGCCAGCTCCCCCCTTTTCCCAAAAGAGTTCACAGACAACTGTCCAGAAGTACACGGTCTCCCCGGCAGTTCTGCTAACAGCAGGATGTACTGCAGCACTCTGGACTGCTGCTGTCGTGTCATTTCAGTGCCTCTGAGGTCAGCTGAGTGTATTAAATTAACGCTGTTCCCAGGCAAAGGAAAATGTCTGCAAACAGAATGGTGTAGCATAATAATGGGATGCAAGGGGCAGATACATGAAGAAATATTATATGGTTGAAGAAGAGGGGCTCATTGCCGTGGTTCTGACTTACGTGACTGAGTGCCAAATGCACATTACCCCACAGATTTCCCAGCAGATTACGTGTTTGTTCACCAGCACTTAACATTTTTACAGCTTATTTCAGTATTTTTGCATTTGTTTCACCCTTAATAATTTATTTATGAGCTTAAAATTTGAAGCCTCATTACAAGCTATCCTGAAGGAATCTCACCTGCCTTGTCTGATTATTATTCCCAAGTATCTAATTTATAAGACATCAATCGAACATATATAAAATAATAATGAATTAATAAAAACTATAGCTTCCTAGAACTACTAGTAGTTTAAATATGTGAGCAAATGCAGTGCACAGTCTGGAGGTCAGCTGTCAAATTTCTCTGAGAATATCTGTCAGAATCACTTAGTATTTATAATATGGTAGTAAGCCATAAAAATATTTAACTGCTATAGTCTTCAAGTAATTCTTGTAATAATTGTGAGCCATATCAACCTGTGAACCTGTAAGGCAGAGCTGGGATTAACCAAGTGTTCCATGTAAGTAAGAAGGCCATCACAAAACACCGTACATGCCTAAGGGACTCCATGTGCCTGTGAAATGAAATGGCAGAAGCAGTCTAGTTCAGCTAAATATTTTTTTTTACTATAATACGATCTCTTAAACTGAAATGATTTATTTTTCTATGCAGAAAGTTAAGATACATCCTTTTTTTACTGACTTAAGCTTCTGCCTCAGAACATTAACATAGCATAGTTCAACATTGCCCATTGGGTGTTCTAACAAAGTATCAATTCAAAGGACAAGCTTTGGCAATTGTGTCTACCCTGGCAGAAGGGACATTATTTCACCCCAAGGAATTTTGGTAGAGGCTCTAATCCTACTGCACCCTCCAGCTCCACAATGCGGTTTAGCACTAATGGGGGATCACTTTCATGTACATTTCCTAAGCTCAGACAGAGCCCACATGACGCTTCACTGAGGAAGGGGAAACACAAGAGTCAGAATTTTCATTCTGGACTTTGTCTTTACCACACAAACTATTGTGTAGTTTCCTTTATGGGTCAAATTTTATCAGGGCTTGCAAAAGAGCCTCATATGGAAAAGATGGCCATATTGTCAGCAGCATGTTTCTCTATTCGAGTCCACAAAGAATCACTTACCCCCATTCTTCAAAAGGACTCCACCAAATTCAGTGGACATGCCTCAGCCCCTCACTTCAGTAGGGTTTACATGAGGACTTCAAATGCGCATCTGTGGAGCTGAAGCCAAAAGACAGCATTACCCCTCTGTGGCAGTCCGATATTTTTTAATATTCACTGACTCTCCTTTTCATCCAGAACGCATTTATCATTTTAAATGCTTATGTCCACTGTTTGGGTATCTCCATTACACAAGCAAGGATTCTAAGGCCAGCAAGGATAGTTTGTTCCCAGGCATGCAACATGGGTTCATGCAAACATTACATTCCCATTTGAAACCTAAATGCCACTTGGGATGTTCCCAAGTCCACTGAGATGTGTGTTTCAAACTGTCACACAGAGAGGTTTCATTTTAATATTTTTAAAAACGTTAAGATCTAACAGGGCCATGAGACATTCTGGTCTGACCTCCTACATCAGATTTTTACTTCTGTATCAATTCCCATAGCTCCTATTTGACTAAAACACCTCTTTCTGAAATACATGTAAATGGAAAATCCACCATCATTTACACTAGCATTAACTACCCCACACTTAAAAACACATCTCAGTTAAGCTTGTCAGGCTGTCACTCCCCCTTCACCAACTTTCACCTCCCTGTGGTACACAGTGCTTTGGCTGTCCATGTTTTGGTCCCATGGGGTGCTGGTACTCTACAACCTGAGCTGGACTCAATGGTATGAGCCATGCTACCATTCAGAAAAACACATGCAGTTGCACGCACACATTCACAGCTTTGGGTACACTTTCAACCACAAAGGATTCATCAAAGTCCAGAATCAAAGATGTGTCCTATGTTTCTCCTGAGCAGATCATCCTGGGGCATGCACAGGGAAACGATGTCTAGTTTAACTCTGAGAGCACTTGCCTACAGCTGTGAGGGATGGTTCTAATTTTAGGGCAACCTGCTTACCACATTTTCAATTTCCTCTCATTTAACCACATTCAAGTTTTGAAAGAAAAATATCACTTACCTTTCTTCTTAAAAAATTTTCACCACGGACTAGTTTCATTGCCCTCATTCAATCAAACCAGTTGCTGACTTGAAGAGGTACTTTCTTGAGTAAGAAAAGACAGTCTTCCATTTCTGGGCCTTCTTTGCAATGGATCCTGTGGAAACCAAAATAAATACTGTACACCAATTCACTTTTAGTGAGTGCAAAAATAGTGCCTCAGAGTGACAGCTATTGGTTTGTCCCCAGTAACTGCTGTAAAACCTTATCTGTAAACATCATAATGAATAATGATCAGTGTCTTACTCCTCTTACTCTCTTGTGTGACAGACCCTTAATTACGGCTATTACATTATTATTTTTTTAGAGAATTCTACATGGCTAAAGCTGCACTCTCCTCTGAACATCAAAGACAGTATTAAAACCCTGGTTAGGATAGCTCCTCAGAATCATCTGCTGATGTTCACTCCAGCTAAGGAATGCTCTGTTCTAGACAGAAAGCACACAGCTGCCTCCTGCTCCTGGCTCGTAAGAGATCCTGCAAAAATGGATACACCACTGAGAATGGAGAGAGTTCCACTGAGAGAAAAGTCCACCTCTCATTAAGCTCTGCACCTCTCATTAAGATCCTGCAACATTCACCCATCCTTAAGTTTGTGACTATTGAAGCCATGTGAGACCACAATGCTAAAGCTGCATCACAAATCGTGACTGTGTAACAGAATATTGAACTACAGACCACTCACTAAGGAACTGTACCACCAGTATCTATTACTGCACCACAATCAGAGCTGTAACATTTTAATTCTGCATACACAGCGTTCACGGGCATCCTCTGGGGATAAACCTAGCTCTACACACTTCTATATTCAACTAAGAAGGATGTCTTTCAGGTACCCTAAGGAGGGAACTGCACAGTCTCAAGATTCACATTTGCACCAAGCAATGAATGATTCATAAACTCCTTATATGAAGGTAACACAAATCAATTCTTACAGTAATTACTAGAAAATTAATGTAACTGCCTCTCAAGAGCATTACCGGAGAACACAGTCATCTTCTGCAGGTATGTAGACGTAAGCTAAAGCTAAGTATATCCAACAGGTAATGATGCATAGTATGATAACGCATTTGGTCTAGACTTGAAGTACATAGTGACTTATTGATAGCCAACATCTTACAATGTTATCTATGTAGAAAGTAATGCTTGGCAATTTATCAATTCTTAAAGCTCTGTGCTTCTAAGTATTACTGTTGATGCTGCTTTGAATTTGGATTCAGCTGATTTTTGTCAAGGTTCAGCACTGTGGCTCATCTGTGTTTCCCCAGCTCCCTCAGGACTTGGAAATACAAATTCATACTTAATGAGCCTGTTAAAAAAAATTAAGAACTGCACAGGCAGCACTGCCCTTTTCTGTCCCCAGTCTGTCCATGAAAACAAAACTGGTTCAAGACGCTAGCAAGGCACGCATATGTACTAAAAGCACAGGTTCCAGGCAGAACATTTTATTATCCATAAGCAAATTATACTGTAAAAGCATACTGTCCAGCTGTACTACCACACTCAATTAAGTCTGTATGTGCCATGCAGGGAAAGAATTTTCAGATGAACCACATCTGCAAAGTGGACTTTCTTCAGAACTTCACAGCCACGTGGTGATGAAGCAAAAATACACAGATTTAAAACACCTATCTGCCAAAGCTTAAGCCTATTCCACACCTGTACTATAATCATTACTTTAGATGATTCTAAAGCATGACTGCATCTCAAGCAAGGTTTAATTACTTCACACATCTCAACTGTAAAAAGCTGCTGCAAGCAATTATGATATACAAAGACACAAGTCTCTGTACTCAGACAACAGTAACATTTCTTTGTGAACACTTTCCTTTCCAAGTATCTCTTAACCAACATCATGTCAGCTACAACATAAGCCATGTTCCTCAGTTGTGGGAGCTTAGCAGCTTTCCACTGATTTAGTCAATTGTGTGGGTTGCTAAAAATCAGGTCTCATGTGATACTGAGTTCACAAAAGTGTTCTAAAGGACATTTTAAACTATTTGCAATTTTTTTGCAGTTTAAATCCTGTTTAATATTTTTGATGAGCTCTATGACTCAAAAAAATCCACAGACTAAATGAAGGACTGCTAAAAAACCTCTGATATGCCATGAAAATTGATCTTCAGCTGCCCAATTCCATTCTTAATAAGACAATTTAGAGACTTACAGGAACATGCCTTATTGATTCATTCACAAGTCACTAAAGCCTGCTGCCTGTGTACTCTCCAATAAGAATAGACACACAGTGCTTCTCGTCTACTGAATTACAGGAAAAGATGATGACCCCAGATCTGTTCTGCTGGAGGTCCAGTGAGACTAAACACACCAAACAAATGTAAACACAGTACACCACTAAGTTAATGATAAATGTGTATAAGAGACAAAGGGACCTACATTTCCACTTTATTATCCCTTCAGTTGAGCCACTGCCATCTCTGCAATTTATTTACCCAGAACAGTTGGGCCCAGATGCATACCTGCTTTTTCACAGAGGTACTTGTTTTTCTCAATTTTGCAGATGGATTAAATAAGCCAGGAGGAGGCCAACCTACATGTGTGAGGTCACACAGTGGACTGTAATCTACACTGCAGCAAGCACCTGAATCCATTCAGGCTCAAGACCTAATTTGGCATAAACCTGGTGTGTAGCTGTACTGCACTATATACTTTATAAACATATCTTTCAATAATCTCCTGTGCTTCTTATGAAAGCAATAGCAAGCAGTCAGAACAGCAAAGCCTACACTGGACAAGCTTTCCTATCAAATTCCACTAATGCATCTCAGCTGTGACCTGCAGTAATTTGGGTAACCTAATAAGGCTGAATGCCCCATAAGAATCTGGAATGATAAACCTGAAAGATATGAGGAAGTACAAGAGAGCAACTGGACACCAAGAAGTCAGAACAAAAGTGAACTTCAAAAATATATTAAGAAAATACAGGTAGAGGAAACACATTATCAAGAATAAGAAAATCTGCTTTACATAGTCCTACAGGTATTTTCAATTACCACTATTTCAACATTCATTTCCAGCTCAAACCATTGCATCTGCTTGTCTAAATAGGGGAATATGCTATACTCAGATTTAGTATCAGGCTTTACAGTAACTAAATAGTTACTATAATAAATCCAATACAAATACCTTAAGTATGGCGTTTCCTCAGACTGACAGGTTTTGCTGGAAGAAGGCAGTCTTCTTTCTACTTTATGACATAACAGGTTCTAGAGAGTCCATTTCTCTTAAATCATTCTAATACTCCTCTTCCTTTACATATGCTTTTGGTTAAGTGTGCACAGACTAGTCAAGCCTAACATTCTCTACTGCAAAACTTAGCTGTTCACCTGTACCACAATTTCAGTCCATTAATGGCTTTAGTACAACTGTATGTAGAGAATGGCTTCAGAAAGCGGCCTCTGCTCTGAGGTAGCTGTTACTTGGACAAATAAGGTAACAAGCAATTTAGTGATGTACAGAGGAATTAGAAGGCTTTTTTATGCTCTTTAATATTTACCCTAATTCCAAAATGAGTCCAAACCCCAGCATAAAAATCACTTTTCCTTTAGAACTGTCTCTCAGCAGGGTAGCACGCTACTAACTGCCAAGTTATCGCTTTGTGCCATGCCACATGTTCAAAGCCACCAGTATTCGATGTGCTAAGTGATACTGAATCCCACAATCAGAAATAAAACCAAAAGTTTCAAAAGATTTTGGAATTTAGATGAATATAAATAGCTGCTTTGAAGATGGAAAGCATTTTACAGATTTACATTTTAGTGTGTTCTGAATGGATAAACAGACAAAACTATGTTTTGTAAAGGAACAATAAGATTTCTAGTTTAACACTCTCCCTAGTTAGATGGTAAGAAATACGAGGAGCCACAGAAAGAATTATTTACATTCCCTGTACAGAAAGCATATGTTTCACTTCTGCTTATTACTTCAGTTACTGAAAAGCTTCTCATTTTATGAGCTTAACAATTATTAACATAAGCCACAAAGCTTTCTGCACATGTACATTCCCACTATCGTCTTTCCCAGCTGACTTGGGTACAAGTATCCAAACCAATCCTGGTAATATCGTTCTTTAGTCAAGAGATTCTGAAGGTTTAACAAAGGGTTTTTTTCTTCTGAAAGACTCAACTACTGTTGTCAAAGCATCCATACATACTTAGAATTAAAAATGTTGAAAAAAGGGTTCTGAAAGGAAAATTAATTGGAAAGATTCATTCTCATAACACTGCTTCCTGTCACTTCACTCCTAATGACTGTGTTCTCCCTTACTTTTGTGCAGTTTGATTTCCAAATCCCCAGAGAGCTCTGTGACAAACCTCCAGGGTGTTTCCAGGATGTAAGGGTCAAGCTGAAAAAGGATGGAGTGTGCAGAAGCAAAGTCTCAGAAACTCTTACTTCAAATCCGTCATGGCCACAGACACCAGGGAAAGTAAAGCACAGTGGGTAGTCTCTTAGAGGAAAATCAACCCTGATGGGAACTTCTTAAAGATCCTAGAATAACTGCCAGCAGAATCCAAGTGACATCCCTTGAATCAAATTAAAAAAAAAAAAAAGTTTCCCAGAGATGCTTGCATGCTTGGTTCATGTATAACACTTGGTATTTAGGGAAATGCTACTCCTGGACTTCTTCCCACCACATCCTCCAAAGACATGTTTCCTTAGCCAGCTGCTTCACTGTCCTCACACCAGCCTCCAAACTCACAACAATACATTGCTGGTTTGGTTTAGACATTGTATGACCTTCCCTGTGCTGACTGGCTCCATTACTGTGAAAAAAGTGCCAGCCAATCTCTATCTTTGGGTTCCCTAACAACCTTACTTTCTTTTTTATTGGTTAATTAACATAATCATTTCCTAAGAACAACTGTAATACTAGTTAGTAGAACAGGTACTGTAACTAGTAAAAGTCTATAAAGAGAAAAATCAATATCTCACCAGATGTATGGAAAAGATGTACCTTCCAACGTCACAAATTCCCTTTTGGAGATCCGAAGGAATTCTGTGCTGCTTCTGCACGACGTGCTTCAATTTCACCTTATTTGTTATTCTCTGTTTAATCAAATTCTTCTGTAGTATAAACT